CAGCTTGATTTTGCAGAAGGAAAAAAAACCAAGCACTGACTGCTGTTACTCATCTTTGCTCACAGAGGTGTTGGTGTGGATGTGTGCCTGGCCTGAGAGAGGATGAATGCACACATTTCCACAGAATGGAAACACAAATGGGGCAAAACWACTTAGAGAGCTTATTGCACTGCCATGCTGGGGAAACGTTTGCTACAGTCCTGCTGGCTTTCTCACTGGCAGAATGAGAGCTTACAAAGCCYCAGCAGGCAGCACATGCAGGACTTRGTGGTGACATRTAGATTTCCATTCTATCTGAACTCTCATCTCTGCATCAGATGAAAGAAGGTTGTCCCAATTTGAGCAGGGTAACTTGTATTCATAGCCAAATCTATTWTTCATTTTCTTCCTAACCTGTTCTTTTCTGCATATTGATTTACTTCCCTTGACAACACATTATGTACAMATTTTCTGTGCCATTTAATAGACCATTACATGACAAAACTCTCAGGCAGTGTTTATAGGTTCAGAAATTACAGTGAAAGTCTTTTTGGGTATTTAACCAGGAACTGATCATAAATTTTAAGTATCTCTCAAACCACACACTACAGGTAGCGCCATCTCTAGCTACAGCTGTGTTCTGCTTAAAAGTTGATCTTAGAACAGTTATTTGAGGGCACGAAAAAGCACATTGATGAAAAGTGTAACCTGACAGCATGGCTTGATCATCCCCCATTTTCAGCAGAAATTGAACACCAAGCACTGTCTGAGCTCCAAGTGCATCTGTCTGGAAACATATGARTAAAATTTTGATATATGTAGTCCTTGTCTTTGACCTTCTACACAATGATAAATTTCAGTTAGTRTTCATAGCAGTTAAAATTCAGTCACTTTAAAGTTCACAGAAAGCACTGCAAATAGAAACAGATTAAGTTTAAAGAGCATTTTCAGATCCTTTTTGGCTATTTCTCTTCACCTGGACATAATATTGGGGGCTGGAAATTTTTTTGAGACATTTACACTCAAATGTCCGGACTCTGAAAATATTTTACATCCTCATTGCTTATAATGAACTCACTCAAGCTGTCCCAATTATTTACGTTAAACAAATCAAATAAATTGTACTGAACTGATCCAGATGAAGAGGAATAATCTTTATGGAAAGCTATACATTCTCTCTAATAAACAAATAGCCATGGTAAAAAGCTGCATTTCTGCTCTTTACCTAATGGGTTCAGGATCAAAARTAAACTTCCTGAACACATCAAGTGTGATAAAATGTAAACAAATAGTCTGACATGACAGAATGCACATCAGCCAATGTCTCTGAGGAGTAAAGTTTTTTTAAAGAAAATGTAGAAGGATACTGTTTTTACCATTTTATATTAGTGTTAATCATCCCATTATAAAGTGATGCAGTTTTGTACATATTTACACTAAACAGAAGAATTGACTGAGTTTCCTGGAAAAGTGATAAATATTTCATTTTATTTGTAATACATATAAAGAACACTTTTTTGGTATTAAGTGAAACATTGAAAGGTGAATATCTAAGTGGAACAAAGAAATCGCATTCGATAAATTAAAAATCACATGAATCTACCTCATTATCAGCAAGCAGTTTGTGTGAGTAAAAGTTTGCATTTTTCTGCAGTGTACTCATAACAGCATGGAGCAATTGTGTTATAATAATCCACAACTATTTAAAAAATTGCTTCTCACTTACACCTTAGATTCTAGATATTTGTGAAATGTCTCTTTTTCAGTGGTGATGCTTCTGTCTGGAAGAGGCCTGGAGTGCTCACAGGCATTCAAGTCTTGGATACAATGGAGTCAAAGACACATCTAGACATTGCAAGGAGATTAAAGTTGATATTTATGTCTTCTGATTTGGAAGTCATTCATTTCTGCTTTCTGAAAAAGATGTTTTGGGTATGCCAGCATCTCATCAGTTTAGACTGAAGTCAGTCTCATGGTSTCATCTGTTCACATCCATTCTAGGTGTGGACAGATTCAGTGAAGATATCCAACAAATGATGGGCTTCAAACCAGGCCTCTACTGGAGATTGTGCTGGAAATTTGTTAGTCCTGCTTTTTTATTGGTAAGTGTTGATAATCATTTCATCCTGGAAAGAATASTGGTGTGTTGTTTCCCAGAACATACAACAGATGCCAACAACAAGACACCTATTGCTGTGCCAGATGCTGTCAGGATGAACAGACACTCCAACTGAAGTCTCTTTTCTCCTTGAAATTATATTATGGTTGTGTTTTGTAGAACACATTTCAGTTGTGAAAGAGAAGCTAATGGTGGCTGTGGTCTTGCTCTGTTCCTTCATTTTAAGACGATTTTAAGAAGGCAACTTGTCTTAGGGAAYACTGAACACTTGGGCAGTGCCCTCACTGTCCCTGCAGCACCTGTGCATACTAAACACAAACCATTCCCTTGGGAAAGTAAACTAGCCAGGGGTAAGAGATTGTGTTAGCAAGAATGTATTTGTCACTGGAGGATGCCAAGATMCCCAAATTGTGGGATGACACCTTAGAAAAACTAATATGCAACTACACATGCAATCAGCTGTGTGAAACACTGAAAACTTTTGTAAAATATACATTGTAAGCTGCCTTTTGTAATAAATAAGTTTTCTATTGCATTTGGGAAAAAAAAATCCCAAAGTGTGAATTTGGTTGCTTTGTGTAAAGGTTAGATTCAGCACTAACATACGGTTTAATATTGGAATCTCTTCCTATGCATATTTGTAAATCAAAAGGTCAGGATAATAATATGGAAATTTGACCTTGCTGTGATTTTAGGAGACAATAAATTGCATTAAGGCAGTGCATTCTTAAAGCAGTACTGGTATTTAAAATATACACTGGGTTGGCTTTTAGGACAGGTCCASTTTTTCTTTCAAATATAAAAGCTTATGACCCCAATTCATCCATAAGCGCCTACCAAGCCTGTATTAATTATCCTTCTAAACACGATTCTATGAAGGAGCAAGTTCCTTGTATGGAATTGTGTCCTGCAGTCAGAATGCTGACTCAAGCAGAATGGCAAAATGCTGGAGCAAACATCCTTAGGTTTTGTGCGCAAGGAGACAAGTTGAAAATTTAAACTTTATAATGAGAGCTGTAGCAATCTAGCTAAAGAGCCCATCAGTCTAAACTTCAGGTAGCTTCAGGTGGCTTGGTGAAAGAGCCTCAACATCCTCCTAGTAAAATCTAAAAACATAATGTTCAGAATAAATCTGTAGATAGCACAWCTCTCAGCCATCACAGTTCACCCCTTTTTTTCCATTTGGGAGCTCTTGAAGCTCTTTCTCCATATTGTCTGCAGCTATGCACATAATCCCAAGAAAAATCTCAAAATACCATTGGTAATTTTCTAACCAGATTTCACATTATCATCTTCCTTTAACTCACACTATCCCGGTGTAGCCTTTCAAACCCAAGGCTCAAAATATTTTAATTTGAAATTGAAGTATGGAGCAGAATGTATAGCCHCAAAGAACCAAATCAAGGAACTGTACATGTTGCACAAGCCATATGGATTTAACAGGACAGAAGTAGGCTGGTGCCCCACTCTTTCTTTCTTGCATCTAGAACTGGACAGGGCTGCACAGGAAGAAAAAAACAACTTTATATTTCAGGCTATAAATCTGCTCTACCTTTCCTCAGTAAATGTATCATGCTGGAATTTGCATTATGCCTCTCATTGAAAAATTGGTACAAAACTTCTAAAYTAAGTTTAATGTCCCTGGAAAACAAAGAAGSTTAAAACAATCRRTTTTGCAGGTTTTTCTTGACTACAKAATCCCTTTTTTTACATCTGAAACACTTGTTTAAATGAGGCAGTACAGATAATCACTTGAAGGTCCCATCAAAATTTCAAATAACCGTGTCCAGAGTGGCTAAAATGAACTGTTAATACTAGTAAATACATCAAGAAYTTCAACAGCTTAAGCAGTAAGAGGCCCAAAGTAAACAGGCTGAAGGTGAATATTGAAGCTGGTTTGAAATATACTTTAGTGTGGCTGCCTAATAAAGAGCCTGGAATCACTTTTCAAGTAAGGCTCTTCATCTTAAAACTGTGGTTCATTTTATGCTTTCTTCTCTAGTTTGTCGTGATAGTCAGCATAATAAATTTCAAGCCTCTGACCTACGATGACTACACCTTCCCTCTGTGGGCAAACCGCATTGGCTGGGGAATAGCATTATCCTCAATGATCCTTGTGCCCGCCTATATCATCTATAAATTTATGAATGTGCGTGGGACCTTTAAAGAAGTAAGTGGAACACTAATCAAATGTCATGAAATGTTGCTGTGAAATGAAATGGCTGGATCTAAGTTGGCAGTTTATTTCTCTGACTCCTGAAACTTATTACTTATGAGTGACCTTTTGAATCCATCTGTCAGGTGGATCGGTGGTTTGAGATAGGATTACTGCATTCTGTCTGAGTCTCCAGATAGAAATTGGCTTTCCAGAAAGCACCATAATAATTGTGAAAKATTATTTTTGATGCATGTAATTAATCCAGTTGATGAGATTAGATTGTTGTTATCAACAAAGAATGTACAAATTATGGCACCCTCATATTCAGCTATGAGGTGTGGTCTTCACACAGTTCTGCACTTTTCTTCATTTGTCAGTTCAAAATGGCACAGGATTAAGGTTCACTAACTATATCATTTTTATGACCTCTGTCTACATGCCCTCACTATTATCTGTAGTCTTAAAACTTCTAATGGTGCTCAGAAGCCTCCTCACCATTAAACAGCATAGTTTTTTTTTCTTATCATGTCATAATTTTATAACCTAATCTAGACCCACTGATTTACACCTTTCCTACATCTGCACTTACACAATGGTGCAGCAGGATATTGATGCTCTTAGGCAAATCATTGAACCAACACCACACACAGAATTAAACAGAAAATGGGAACTCAGCCTTTACATAGATAGGTCACATCCCCCTCACATTGACCTGGCAGACTCAAAAGGAGAAAGCTCTTGTTTCTGAAACATTACAGTCATCTCATGTAATGTTCACCTCAGAAAGGCACCCCAAAGTGGGAACTCCTCTTCAGCTGCCCTGTTTKCATCAGCTCCAACATGTTGATATTGTGCACAATTTCTAGATCTCATTTGTTTTGTTCCATCTGGGGGAGATGTTGCAAATCCATTTTCTAGAAGCATTTAAGTCTCAAAGAATAATTTGCTCAAGTTTACTGATATGGGGATGCAGAAGCCCTTGGCCAAAACCACATTCTCTCATTCATTTTAAAGTGTTAGCAAGTTCTGGTTTGTCTGTTCCTGCTCCTGCAAACAGCAACTCCCCAGTTTCCCCATGAGCATTATGCAAAAGGCTGATAGATTACATCCAAGTAACTCACACAAGATCTGATGCCCTAAACTGTGACCCTTAAAAGTATGGGGAAAGGTATAGTCTAATGGGAATTCCTTAAGTTGGTTGAAAGTTCCTAGTAAACCAAAATCGACATATGATCTCAAAGGGCACAGCATGGGGCAGACAGGGGAGATGAGAAGGGAAATACCAACACCTCCTTCCTCTCCCCTCTTCCAGCACTGACAGAAAAGCATGAACTTAGGGGATGTACGGCCTGTGATACCAACGTGTTCCTGATGTTCTTTTCTATATGCACTTGCTAAATATTTGGACTTAGTATTTGCATAAACTTTCTACTGTTGCTTCTAATATTAAAGGCTAACACCCCAGGGTTTATAACAGGCTTATTCTCCCAGTGACTGAGTAAAGGCACATGATGCAGAGATATTAAAGATTTAAGTTACCATTTTAAATAAAGTTCATGCTACTTCCCCACTATAGATTGGGGATTACACGCATAATCCCATTTCATATGGCTGACTTTTTYCTCTTCTTCCTTTCTGGTTTAGAGACTAGCTTACTGCATCACGCCTGAAAATGAGCACCAACTYGTGGCCCAAGGAAATGTCAGACAGTTTAAGGTTTGTACACCTTTTACAGGCTTCCTCTCCTGATACCTTTTGAGTCTTTAGCAACAACCACAGGTTTGCACCAATCTCCTCACAGTGAATGCCTTTGCAGKTCTGTAGTTCTATTTTTTCTGCCATCATGACAAGATGCAAAAGACTCAATATCATATGCATCAAGCTTTTTGAAGGCTTTTGGGATCTTCATTTTTTTACTAAGGATAACTCTCAGTTCAGGATCACCTGAATCCAGTATTTTAGGTTGTATTTGAATACAGTGCAATCTCACTAACAAAGGTATTTCCAAACTATCATGTGCATTTGAAGAGGCCATGGTGYCTCACTCAGTTACTGCACAGCAATCTGAAGTCATGGTGCCAAAACTGCAATTATGTCCCAACAACACAGGGTAAACAGCAAAACAAATCTCTAGTGTCAGAGCTTACCCATAATGTCACAAAATTCTGTACCAGGTCATGTGGCATTGGCTTTCCCCACAGGTCTAGAGYTGATTGAAAACACTGCTGCAGACTTCATAAGCCAAAAATACGCTATAGATTTCCAAATACTGCTTTCAKTTTAGCAAATAAAATGAGCTTATTGAAATAAACTCCTTTCTGTAGAAGATTAAAAGGATGCAAATGTGGATCCAAAGGATGCAAGCTTGTTACACTTATCAGCATTCATGCTGGACCACTTTCTGTCTGCAAAGTTGAAARCAACTAGAATTATGCACACCTCCACAAAATGTGACCCAGATTTTATAGTGGTGGTTTGTATGTTGATWTTGAAAAAATAAATCTGGCTTTTGCTTATTCTGAAAGATATTGTTTAAAGAAAATTTAGCTTCTAAAGGAAATAATCCATGTAGATTGATRGGATGCAGAATGAAAGCACAAGCAGGCTTCCTGTTTCATGACCACAATTTATTTGATGTGGCCAAGAATGTGTAATAGCACAGCACCTCTTCCTGTCTTCTCTTTCTCCTGTTTCTGTCCTCAGTTGTCAGATGATTTACTGTTCCTGCTGTAACTCAGTGTTTCCAGGGGCAGATGCTGCTGTGTGAAAGGGCTACAAAAAGTCATTCCTACACAGTACTGGTCTTCTGAACCCAGATCTATAATGACAAAAAGGTGAAGGTGGCAAATAATTTTTTAAAAGTTAGAAAAGGTTTTCCTCATAAATGAACTCCTAAAGTTACCTCCAAACATGCCAAACATGAGAGCATCTTAATTTGTGGCCTTTTTCAATGAACAGCTAGGAATGGCTTTGTAGTGTGAAAGCATAGTTAGTTTACAGTGTTTMAGTTTGTAAACCAAACACTGCCTCCTGTAACCAGATAAATAAAAATATTCCCATAAATTTCTGGCAGTTCTGATTTTTAAAACTGAATAAGCAGCTTTTATATTCAGCGTATTTCTCACTGCAAACTGGAATGCATAGAAATTTAGAGTTGATAATCCATCCATTATTTTGCAATCTCTTTGTAACTCTAGATTTGTCAAACAAGATATCTGTCAGCATCATCGTTTGAATCATTGATGTAATTTAACAACTACTTCTGTTTCTTTACAGCTCCAACACTGGCTAACAATATGACAACCAACAGGTCAAGGAAAAAACCCACGTTCAGCTAAACTGAGAATACAGAAAAGTCAAGTTCAAAGCTCCCTCACTCACTGCTTGGACCAGGCTGGCTCAGAGCTTATCCACTGACTCTTTGAGGGAAGACATCTGCTCTCTGTTGTCAATGCCTCCCTTCTATTACTTGGCTTCAAATGATCTTTAAAGACTCTGTTTAATTTTTCTTGCATCCTTTGGCGCCATGAGATCCCTACATGACCAAAACTTGTGAGTTTTGCTATTGGCAGAAGTGGAGGAGGGGGGAGCAGAGGAAAAAAGCAATCGGCATACGTTAAGTGCTTTTTTATTGTGAAGAAGTGAATTAAACTTTTCTGACAGTAATAATTACTTCAGATATTCATGCCACAACTATTTTAAACCAACAACACCTGAGCATTCTTAGATCTAAGGAAAGAGTACACCTCAGTTATGACAAAAGAGCAATTTTAACTATGTACTCATGTCATCAGCTTTCTTGCCATRCTGTCCTTTGGGATGTGAGTGCATCCTGCTCAAGTGAAGACTCGGTGCTTCATTTTCAGTGGTTTGTTTTTAGTTTCTTCTCTTGGTGAAGAACCAAGTCTTTGCTGTACTTGCCCATGCTGTTTTCAGTTTCATTGCACATCAGGAAGAGAATTCCTGTTGAGGTTACAAGTGCAGAACACAGGTAAATATCACAGTGTGCTTCATGAAAGAGATATTCCCTTATATCCACAGTTTAAGTGGCTTGATCATATAATCCACACTCGGCAGACTTTTCCAGCTAAGCATGAAAGTTACATGCACATAGCCAGACTCTCATCTTTTAGTTGTATTTCATTCTAAATAAAGAATGTAAAATACATAGGAAGAGATAATTTTTAGAATTATATAATTACCAAGTGGCACAAAAATACAAACTGGCTTTATTCTCCTGCTGTGAACATGCTACATTATAATTTAACYAGGRTTCAYCTACCAAAACATAGTAAGATTTTGYTGARTAATTTAAAAGGATATTTAGGCACACTCAGCTCTGTAAGCCTATTCTTTGGTAGTATTATGCAAAGTAGAAGATACAGAACAAACTCTGCATTTGGGTGCTGTTCTTATTCTGTGGTCACTTGTCACTGTAGTATCTTCCAGGTGATCACTACATTCAGTAGCTTTGAGTTAGTTCTTGTAGTTATTTATCTCTAGGTCTACAGTAATTTTTAGAGGCAGTAGCTTCTCAGCTGGATCCAACCCAGAGTTTACCTCTGGACATTACCTCTGATTTTTTTTGTCTCTATACATTCAATTCAACTTGTCTTTTAAATGTATGTAGTGCTTCCTCTTTTTAAAAATGCCTTTTAAATGGATGGGCCTTTTTTTATTTATAAAACAATTGTTGTTGAGTTGTTTTCTTTTTTAAAACAGCCAAGTTTAAAAGTGCCAAGTGCTTTTTGGCTTTTTCTATTTAAAATTGATTTATGTTCAAAATAATGAAAGGGAAATTTCTCTCCTTACTCATTCTTTTCCTCCAACATATTCAATACTTCAGAATGAATCAAGTGTTGTCCTTCTCTTGAAGAGTCTCTGTGACAAATAGTAGTTCTATTTAAACAGGGTTTTAAACCCAAAGAATACTTTCTTCAAATTATAAAGAAAGTCTTATTTTCTGGCCCAGCTGATGGCCAACAGCTGCTTAAACCCTGTTATTAAATATATTTCAATAATAAAGGAAATCCAAATGTTGCAGTTCTAATGCTGTAATCACACGAGAGGCTAAATAGTGAAAATATGTKGAAGGCTTCAAAAAAGTCATTCCAMCAACTTTCCAGCTAATCTCATTTTTATTGTTTGCTGAACTACATGAGAATCTCTTCATTGTTTTTAAGCCTGCTTTTCAACAATACAGCTGYTTCAGTCACTGGCTTGGCATGGCTCAAAAGCTTCTTAGCATAGATGTAATTACCAAGTTTTGAAACTCCTAGGGGCTGTTTAACGTGGAGCTTTAATGGGTTGTCATGTTACAGATTGTTTGGTTGTCTCATGATTGGAAGTGCTAAAAACCTACACCAGTGTTCACTCATGACACACCCTATCACCCCAACCCTAYAGCAACAACCCAGAAAAAATTACATTTCCTCACCACTCTGCTCTGAAATAGGAGSAAAGCTACCATAGCATGGCAGTGAAATCAGCTTTACCCATCATGTTTGGGTTTGATTGTATTTTTAATACCAACTCCCAAAGCAATTAACCTACTGCATTATKTTTTTTTCTGTTGCTGTACAACTTCTTAGGTTTAGTGTAGTATTTATAGCTCAGGACTACATTGCACTATTGCCACCTTGTTCTGAGGTTTATAGGTAAAGAAATTGCAATCTATACAGAAGACAAAAGTCATATCAAAGAAAGTAGGAATCTTATTACCAGAAGTACCCTGAATGAAAAAGACAATGCACAGTGCATGACTGCATAGGTAGACTCTAAATTCAAGATGTTGCCCAAAGAAAGTCTCCCCMCACATAATATGACTTCTGTCCTAGAGACAAATATCTTCACTTCTCCACAGAATAAGATGATGAACTACCTCATGCCTCTTGKATGATGAATGATGCCATTAGACACAAACTGGCATCTATTCAAATGACAAAAACTTTTGTGAAGACCAGGTTGTGCTCATTTCCTCCACTCAATGACATGGTACAGACAGTCCAATAAAAAGCCATAGCTCGGGCACCCCTCTCCTCTTAGGCACCTACTTTGGGCTCTCAAATACATTTTCAATATGGAAAATATCAAATACTACAAAGACACTCCTCCCTTCAGTTATAACACTTGTAATTAAAAACGAAAGACCAAAATGTCCAGTCAGGTCCTTATCATCCATGTCACTTAAATGCAAGTCTTCCCCTAACTCTGTCCTGATCTTTCAGCCCAGCACCTCCCCCTTTCCCTCAGCTGCACCTATTTCAGGAACAGACCCTCCCTGGGAATGCCACTGTCCCAGATATCCCTGTGGGATGGCAAGCATATGCTGACTGGGTAGGCAGCCCACTTTTAAAAGAAGAAAATTTTTGCTACAAGCTGATTTAAGACACAGAATCATCTGCTTACTAATTATGTTGGCTGTTTGGATAACTAACCTGTGGGAAGAATTCAGTGACACAATTAAAGAGCTCATCTGACAGCTCTAGAAAATATTCCCTCAAAAGCCTTTTCTTAATCTGATAAAAGAAGCAGCTGTCACACATCCATCTCTCTCTTCTGACCTTTCTTTTGACCAGTGAAAAAGACCTGCCTGTGATCCATAATGTTTCATCAATCCACAGAAAGCTTGTGAGCACCAAGAAAAGAGAGCCTCCATTCTCCCTTTGTACCCCTCCCTGCAATCATTCAGCCAGATAGTTCTTCACATGCTTGGAACTATTCTCAAGCTACATCACTAAAACTCCACAGATTTAGATTTCTGGAAGAAACAGTGGGCCTTTCAAGGCAATAGTCCAAAAAGCACTGTTATTTAGTACTGGGCCCCTGTTTGACCTGTATCTTTTTCGTCAGTCTTTTTTGTGTTCCACCTTCTCCTGAGACATACACCCTGGCAACACTTGAAAGACATCTTACCATAGTGAGGGATTCTGCAGGATGTCCAGCATTAAACATGATATTTTAAATATAGAATCTAGGAGAATTACTTGGCTGTTACTACTGTGCATGTTCCCTGACCGCACGTGCAATGTATGTTGGATGTACTTTTCCCAGAGGAAATTTCCTGTACTTGGTCATTTCTTCTCAGCAAAATACCATTTAAGTGTTATTATTTAAAAGGGTCGAGCCCAAACATTTTGTATATACATTCACTTCTTACGCTATTGTTTTGACATGAGTTAAGTTTATTTTGTACTGTTAGGTGGTGGGAGGCCACATCAAAAGTTCTTTTGCTGTTGATGTCTCTTTTGCAGTTCTTCCAATTCATACAGCATTAATTAGCAGATACTTGGTTTCATGGGAGTAGATAGCTTTCATTCATATCCCAGACTGCTTCACTAAGTTTCATGAGGAAATGGCAAATGTTTAAGCATTTATTTCCTAGGAATCAAATTAAAACTGCAATTTCAAAAGAGGTGAGATTTTAAAATATTTTATTTGCTGTGCCATTTTAAGACATTTCAAAATGAGCCTGAAGTACTCAGACATTAGAAAGCTCTCATAGTTCAACCAATGACAATAAATATCCCTACCTGCGGAAATTTTGCCAGAACTCTAAGCCTCTTGGAGCAGTGAAATAAGACCTTTTTTTTTGCTTTAATACACTTTATTTTCTCAGCACTAGGAGTATTCATGATCCACAGATCACTTTGTGTAAGAAATCAATTTTCTTAATGTAAAGGCTAACATGATGTTTCAGATTGGACCCCTGAACAACTTGGGAGACTTTCCTCTGACTCGTACCCATGCTCCTGTTGGTGTCTGTGTGCTTACCTAGCTGATCAGTGGAAAGTGAATCATTTCTACWGTGGCATTGGTCAAACTTTGACCTAATTTAGGTGCATCTAAATTCATCAGAGACTACTATAGAAAGCTACCAGGGCAATAAAAACATTCCAGTCAGTAAAAGAACATAACAGCATAATACAGTCACTTTTAAGTACAACATTTGATTGGTTTTCCATCAACATTAAAAACCAGAATGTGCTCAGATTGCAGTCACTGGGTGACTGACGAGCAGAAGCAAGCAGAAAAACTGAAGGCCACCAGAAGAGCATAAAAGGCACAAATATGATGGTGTTCAGTGAAAATGTGCATTTAGAAGGATATGGAGATGTGGGTGGTGCAGGAGAGCAGGGGAGAAATGGAGAGGTTTGAGTCTCAGTGCAGCAGTGCAGCCCTCGTGTACATTAACCATGACTGCATTCACTTCCATGAGAACGGGGGCCTTTCCTGCAACATTGGGTCACCTGTGTGCTTTGCTTTCCTCTTCCTTAAGATGTTTCTTTAGCTGCTGTGCTAAACATGAGTTGCCTAATTTCATTACAAGGAAACAGAATAAATTCAGTGAATTAAGAGAATTACTAAGCCTTAAGCTGGCTTTTTTTTGAAGGTGTCCTGTTGTTTCTTGGTCACTGCCAAGAGGCATCAAACTTGCAGGTGACCTGCATTTTTAATTCACCTTGCACTSTCTGTGAACCTTTCTGCAAGACTGAGCTCTCCTTTGCTATGGGCAATATCAGTTACAAAGGGAGAACCTCCAAACAGTACATTTTGAAAATAAATCCTAATAGGTCTGATGAAGATTTGCCTTACAAATAAAAGCTTTACAGTGAGCATTTACTTGGTTTACACCAGTGTTTTACTTAATTTTTAATGCCTTTTTATAGCGGTGACTAGAATTTACCTTCGATAAGGGTACCTCTGTATAGGAAATATTTTAATATTTTTACCAGTTTTTTTTTTTAATTTTCATAGAATATATGTATATTGTAAGGCGAGAAATTSAACTTTGATGTAACAGGGTTATCACACAAGACCTATCTCTCCATTATAAGATTTTGTAGTCAGCCAGTCTAGTTCAGTAATATGTTGGCCTTTGATTATAAATGTAAAAACSTGATAAAGGAGAATAGAACATTACCTACAGCTAATGCACATTGTAGCACAATATTCTCCATTGCTGCCTTAATCTCATAAAATTAAGTCATGTGTTTTTATTTTATGTTCTAAAAAAAAAAAAAAAAAAAATAACAACCAAAAAAATCCAGAGTATCCGTTGGCTGCAATTTTGTGATTTTAGATGACTTAACATTAAACCAAATGTGTTAGTGTCCAGTAGATCTACTTCCAAAGCAAGAGAACACATTGTAGTTTTCAGGAATAAGTCTTCATAAGAACTCAAAACTTGCCACTAGTAAAAATACTCTCCAAAGTGCCCCAGTGACCAAAAGTATCCAAACACAGCCACCACGTTTCCATGCCTGATTCCATTGATTGTGCAATCTGCAGGTCAATTTTGCCTCTTTTTTTTTTTTTTTTTTTTTTTTTTTTTTTTTTTTTTTTTTTTTCAAAGGGAGACATCCACATGCCCATGTGTGTAATTAAAAACAACAACATTTCTTATAAATATGGATATGGATGTGTGTGATGTGTGCTGGTTAACTATACTTAAAATGCTGATAAAGATGGTGAATGTAAAGTATTTGTCCTCATACCTCTGTCTTTCTGTGATCAGTGTAAATAAGAACCGTTTTAAGCTGTGCATTAATGTAACAGATTATCCCAATATTGTGTATAAAATTATTTAAATAAAATCTGACAAATATGCACATAAAAACAGTATAAGGAAAAGGCTTATGTACCAAGAATTTACTTCTGACAGTCAATTAAAAGMTGAAATGGAAGTTTTGCTTTTTGTCAATACTATTCCAGCTAAAGCTTCGCAGGGGCAGCTGGTCCTTGGCTCAGCTGAAAACAAAATCCCAAAAACAGAACCTACACAGCTCTCAGCCTTCAGGAGATTGTTCACATCCTTTCAGCCTCCAGTGCACGCAGTGGACAGATAAATTTAAACATTCAAACTCATTTCAACCAAGAAATTACAGTAATGTGGTGAAGCTTTCACAATCACACATTGGAAGGAAAAAAWCAAGACCTTCTAGGAACACAAACCAAAATGCATAGCACAGATGCCCTAATTCCCCAAGGCTACGTTGCTCTCCTTTCTACAAGAAATTCCTTTTGCTTTGTTAATTTTGCCATAACTAGCACTAGCCATAAACACATTATTCTTAATTTACAGATCAGCCAAGAAAAGGTGACTCTTACCCAACATAAATGAAGAACAGATAACCATTGGTTKTGGGGATTTTTTACTATAACATATACCATTTTATTGTATTTCCACATCAATTTCTTAGATTTCTACATCTGTAATGAAAATCATTATTTCCAAAGGTACATTCTGTTAGACTATCTCACCTGTCTCCATATAATTTTATCCTTGGGGCATACAGAAGTTAATGACCTTCCTCAGTGYTTCTTTTGTAAGCAGAGCCCAATATTATTACAAGTAAACATGAAATTTCAGTTTGGTCTCTTACCTATGMTAATATTTATAATCTAGATTAATTTAAAATGCAGAAACATAATAAAAAATTACCTTTGAAAACAAAATTGAAGGTTTGAAGAAGTCAGAAAACATCKGGTTCATTTTTCATTATAAGGCAAATCAACACTGCTGCCAAAAAGCTGAAATATTACAATCTAGTACATGCAAAGAGAACAGAGAACTGATATGATGTGTTCAAAAGTATTAACTGAAGTAACAAGGATCTTTTTTCAAAAGTTCAACAAGAGACCAGTTTTAAAAACTAAGAGGGAACTGCTAGAATTGAAAGAGATCCAGAAATGCCTACTYGCATAATCCACCAGTGTGTAATTCCAGCAATAAATCAAAAGCAATTCCTAGAGAACAGAAAGGCCCTCTCCTTCCTCAGCTGTAAAAACAATGCTAATTCTGCTTATCTCCAYGGAGTTTTGAAATCTCTTGGGCAGACCAGAGCAATGGCATTACAAAAGCCAGATATTAGAACCCTTCACTCCTAMACTTACTAAAACCCTTTAAAGCACATACTAAAACAGATTCTTCCCTTTGTGTGGTTTGCAATAAAGAACTAAAATAATTTTCTCCCAAGATGTCTAAAAAATGTGTGTGGAAACAGTTACACATTTTCATGAACAGTTATTCCACATTACGTAAATCAYCATCACTGAACCAAACTAGAAAGCTCAACATCTACTGGTCTTAATTTCTRCTTATCCACATGAGCAGACTCAAAGTTCAGCCACCCATTAATT